CGTGGGGGAGCGCGCCTGCCACAGTCACTGCAGGCAAATGCAGAAAACGCAAGAAGAAATTCTCAAGACAGGCTGGGGAGATAAGACATTTAAATGAACTAATCTGCAGGGAGTTGCACGGAGTTCACATGAGTCATTTGGGTGTGGATGTCAACGTCTGGCCAACACGATAAGTGGATCCCCCCCCACCTCCCACACGCTCGGCGTTATTCAGACATCACCTGATCTTCTCTGGCGACTACGGAGCCACCCAACAGCTGAACCCTGTTCCTGGGAAACACGGGAGGCACTGGGCGACCAGCTCGGCAGCACCATTAGCATGCTTCCCAGATAAACGTTTTGCAAAAAGCACGGATCCGTCTCGAAGCCTCCCTGTCTGAAGTGCCGTGATTGAGCCCGACGAGCACAAGTCAGGCTTTATCAACACCACGAATTAGCAACCATCTCTAGGTGCTTCCACACATCCTACAGTACCCCCTGTGCTATTAAACAGACCCGAGGAGGTAGCTCGAGAACGCGTTCCAAAGGCAAGCTGCTTCACGGCAAGCTTCTGCCTCCCATCTCCTGAAACCCAGGAGGTTATCGACCCGCTGAGGACCTCAGGACAGCCCCTGAGTCACGGCAGCGGCTCAGGCATGTACTCGAGCTCAGCTCCTACATCAAACACAACCAGCAATCCCGTTTTTCCCCGCTCTGCGTTGCTCCAGCAAAGATTCTGAAGATATCCCAAGTTTTACATCATGTATCGCAGCAGGCACGTGCTCACCTTCACGCTGAAAGCAAATGTTATCCCTGTTTAGAGGGGGAAAAGGCGGTGACGAGTTGCAGGGTTCCCACCAAAAGTCTGTACTTGGCCCTGCAAGTACATGACCCCCTGCCCCGGGCGCCGCAAACACGGGACAGCTTCAACAAACCCCACCTGAGACCCCAAGCACCCAGAGAGGTCAGAAAAATGTTACGGGAGCTATCGTTACAGATCAGCACGATCAGTCTGGAATATTAGATTTCATTTTCACAGATCACTGGGATTCTTCCATTGTTATTTCGACCAACCTCCCAACGGTCAAAACACTTCCAAAACCTTAACCGTTGACTTCTCTCTGCATGCTGGGCTTGAACTTAATGAGCTTCTACCCATGAAGAAATACAAAATGCACTACAGAGCTGTAGTTAATCATTGATTTTTTGAGGCTACAATTTCTTTTTATGCTGGGACAGATTCCTGCAGGCTACGAGATGAATTCTACGGGCAAGATTCAGCTCTGCCAACTCCCGTGCAGTGGATACCCTCAAAACTGCCTTTCTACACACAGTATTTTTAGATAAGAAAACATCAAAATTCAAGATCACTCTTAAGGCTTCTGAATATTCACTAACCAGCATAAGTGAAATTGTCCAGGATTCTTTTGATACACGGTGCTTAAAATATCTTTAAAGCACTGTACAAGCAACACTGGATGCAATTCACAAGCTGATGGTGAATATAATTTTAGTGTCCTAAATTTTTTTTTTGTACGTGTGTTTTTTTTTTTCTTAATGTTCTCCAGTGTTGGAACAACCCACAAATACTAAATGGCAGAGGCATGGGTTTTTTAAAATTATATATATATTTTTTTTCTTCTTTTAAACTGCTACCAAAAGGCAGAAATCCAAGAGTTATTCTAAAGATATTCTCTTGGGAGTCAGAGCAAAGGTGAAGCACGTTTCAGGTGCATTCCCTCATCACAGTATGCTCTGGAGCACATGATGTTTCCTACTCTCAACTAATAAAAATGGGTATAAACCAGAGCTGAACCATGGTACCACCTCACAGCCCACGGAGAAGACGTGCCCCATCTTCGTCACTATCGAAGATGTTAGACTGCCACCTTCAGTCTGAAAACGTGGGGAGAAAATCCCTTTTAAATCTAATCATGACAGGAGGAGGTTTTCCAGGAGACTCCGGGAGCTGCAGACATTTAAGCAACTGCAGGTCCCCATTCAAAATCAAGCATCACCTCCAAGAGGTGAATCTCAGTATCTGTGGAACCATGGACGTGTCGAAGGATTTCCTTCCGCTCGTCCAAGATTCACAGGATGAAGACAGAGGCTCCAGTAAAAGACAAACCATGCCTCAAGCCGCTCCTTGATACGCCTCAGGGAGAAAAAAAACCTGATTTCCAACTCTTACAGGGGTACTTAAAACAGGTCTGGTAGATAAATATATTTGTCGTGTTTTACGCTCAGATTCCCATTTTTAATGTTAAAGGGCGATGGAAAGAAATTGCTTCTGATTTTCTCAGTGCGAACGTTGCCAGATCAGTCCGATGGAATACATCGACTGCTAAACGCTGCCGGAGCGATGCCAGGTCGTGGCAGCCCACCGATGGGCAAAACCAAATTTACTTCCCCTTGCACGGCTCGTACAGTGATGCCACACCTTCAACAGAACCGCGGTGAGACCCTGCTGTTAGTTCTCGCTTTAAAACCGGCTCATAAAATGCAAAAACCCCACCAACTACAAGACACACTCCAAACCTCTACCTAACAGCACACAGTTATATAAAATTGCATCTGCATGAGACACTCGGTCTGTGCATAATTTATCTATATTCCCATTCAGCACGGAGTAATTAGCACTTGCTGACTCGTCTATGAATGGGAATTCTCATAAAAGTTCTCCAGTTTTTGCATTTATTGCAAACATATCAGTGACTGGCTTGTGATTCTTATCTAATTTGAGCTGCTCATCTGTAATAATAACCTGTTAACAGATTGTTTGTTAACTACAAACTTTTTTTGTAAAAAAAAATACTTTTAACACGACACAAAATCGTCTTTCGGGTTCTAAAGAGTACAGTGCTTCCCCCGAAGTAATGCTTGCTGCAGTGAGACGAATAAAAGCAGCAAAACTAATCAGCCAGACTCGAAAGCAGCAGTGATGTACTCGGTTATCTCACTGTGCTAATCCTCTATCAGGTGACTGCTCACAAGATTTCTTTAAGCCCTCATTACCGAGGCAGAAATCCAGAACTAGGACACACACTTTAGTGACCCCAAAGTAACGGGTTTAACCTCTCGGTGGGATTTACGTGCTGACCGGGCCATGACAAATTGCCCACTTTGAGGTGGGTTGTACCTCTGCAGCCAAAAAAAGCTGCAGAGCAAGAAAAGTATTCTGCTATTTATTCCTCTGAAGGCAAATAAAGGAGTAACTACTTGCAATGTTACAAATCAGAAACAGCTTCTGCTAACCAGCCAGAAGACACGCAAATTGGTAATTGGGGTTTAGGATCTAATTCCAGGAGCTCTCAACCTGCAGCTTGGCAGAGACGAGGCTTTTAATTCTCTCATTAAAAGGCCTTATGATTGAATAGATGTTCATTTTAGGCTTTTGTTTTTAGTCACAAGCAAAAACTATACAACAACAAATCCTACAGGCCAGTAGGACTGTATTTACCAAATATGCCAGTAGACTGGTATAATCTAGAGAGGCAAAAAAAAAAGAAGTAAAAAAACCAAAAAAAACCCCAAAACTCCAAACTCACCTTGATCATTTCTGCCACGTAACTTTCTGGTCCTGTATATTCCGTTGAATCTTTTACTTTCACCAACACAATAAAGCACAAATAATGCCACATGTTGTGCTCTTCTTTAATGTGCTCTTCAAACGTGACCGTCTTGTTGTCAAATTTGTCTCTTTCCAAACCTACGAGAGTGACACATAGAGAACCCTTTGTGTTTACAAACTGGTACTCTGAAAAGGAGGTCTAAGAACAAAACTTGTTTCTACTGCACTTCTTAAGAGCCACAGTTCTTAACCAGATGCTGAATAATGGGGAAAAACTCTACCAAACGGTCACAGTGCAGCGAGAAGAGGGAAGGAGGCACGACAAGTACATGCATTACACAGAGGAGCAGATTTCTGGTTAAAATAACCCAAGGTAGCTACCTCGTATGCAATCAGTCTGTCAGGTTTCATAATGCATCTCCTATTTTTAGGCAAAGTGATACCAAAACTCAACGTTTGCCTCGCCGCAAACTTCCAAAGGTTACTTCTGTCAGTCTGCGTGTTCCGCAACTTGCGCAGGACCGTGGCATTTAACCACCGCGGCCTCAGAGGCTCGGCTGCTTAATTCCCAATCTAAGGATGGGAAAAAGCTTTCACCGGCACCACTCAACACTCTGCAGCCCTGGAGAAAACGACTGTTTATAAAAATCTCTCCCATTCCAAGAGGGTAAACTGAGCGTACGCCCCCCATCGGTTCCTGCTGCCAAGCTCCTACACGCGTGGTCCCCGAGAATATCAACTAGCTGAGGAATGCAAGGTAGGAAGAGCCAGTAATTCCAGACTCCTTTTTCCCAAGTTTGCAGCTCCCTCTGAGAGAGCAAACCCTTATGTTTAAGTGTGGTTCTACGCTTACCACAAATGAAGCAAGTGGTTTTCAAAATTTCTTCTTTCTTCTGTTTCTCGCTCCTTAGATCGGCAAAAGTGTCAATGATCACGCCAAAGATCAGGTTGAGGACAATGATGATGACCATGAAGAAGAACAACAGATCATATATCACTCTAGCAGCGAAGAGAGGTTCCTGCAAGATACGGATTTTAATTATGAACAACGCAAATACGTGCACATCCCACCTTCCCCGTGCCTTTCGCAGCTCAGCCACAGAGTTCGCTGCCCCACAACCCCTCCCTTTAGAGTCTCCATTTCTGATGCTCTCCGGTCATAACTTAAACTCAAAACATCAAGCGAAACTAAAATGCAAGATCAGTGAAAAGGCAAATTAGTCAGCTGCCAGAGTGTGATCGCTACAGAGTTGCTCCTCCTGCTGACTGTGCCCGAGTCTGTTCTCTTACGCTCACCGAAAGTTGTTCTCTCCTCACCTCCACCCCAGATACCCCCACCCAAATGACATCCTTATATTGATCTGGTATATCAATATAGTACCAGTGTTGACCATAAAGTCTTTGACTGGAATTTGACAGCGTTCGTTCCATTTATGGAACGAACATTAAGTTGGGCTTCCCAGTATCCATTTCCTATTTATTGTAGGTCTGAATATCTGAATGCCCAACCCCCATTTCCAGAACCATCCTGTCCCTTGGGTGCCCAAGTTTCATTAAAAATTGCATAACTTGTAATGCACTGTAAGCTGAAAATTAGAACACACGTGGAAATTGCAGGCAACATGGACAAGCATTTGCTCTGACCAACACTGCTCCTTCGGCCCCTTAACGGGATTTTGGGGAATGCCCAGAGGGAGGACAGCCTGAGGCTCAGATGGGCACAAGGGGCTGAAGCAGCAGCTCTAGAGGCACCTTTGGGTATCACGAAAACTTTCTGCTGCTTTGACTGGCCCTTCGGCTGACGGCTGCTCCAAACCACATCCTTCCTCCTTCCCACAGCCCCAGCTCCAGCCCATCTTGGTCCCCGTCCTCTCCTCTATTCCCCGTTTCACACACCCAACCTTTCCCTAGGGATGCTCCCACACAAACTCGCGCCTCGAGCACCCGGATTCTGCCACCTCAGTCTGCTTTTTTGCTGGCCTGTACTTATCTTATTTCTTCAGCTCCTGACTTCCCAAAGCACGGGGCTGTCGGCTACACCATTTCTGTTTCTTTGGGCCCCGTTTCGGACAGCCCTGAGGCTAAGAAAGCTTTAAAAAAAAAGGATGGGCAGAAGCTTGTTTGAAGTGGCTGCCGGTTGATCTGATACTATTGAGATTTAACAAGAGAGAAAGCGTCATCCCTCCTAGTCTCCTGCATCTGTTGGAAGGGAGCGTCGACACGTTTTCCCCAGCAGAGCTAGATCCCCAGCCATACACGGCTATCGCCCGCCCGCCCCCATTCAGTGATAATTTACCTCCTTGGATGGTTTCCTGAGCACATCACCTACTCCACCCCCACTCCTGAGCCCGTGACTCAGTACAGTAACAATGCACATCAGCAACGTCTCGCACGTATGCTCTTTATTCTCTTCCTCCGTTTCTTCAGCCACCAGTTCTATTAACACAGCAAGCAAAGACACGTTGCAAAGGCAAGATCAGTTTTAAATCATTCTTTCTCCCCTCTCTGCTCTCTCCCTCCCCGCTTTGCAAAACCCCTTTGTCAGATTTCCAACCTCCTGAGCTCTTGCAAAGCACCGACCATCCTCGGCTCCATCCTGCCCTCCTCTCCCCATCAGCAGAGTTTTCTTTTGTGCCTGAACTGCTGTCTTTGACTCGGTTCAATATCTCTTTCCATTTCTGTTAGCATGCATAGCTCGGATCACCAGATGCCTGTTTATACAGAATCGTAGCTTTTTGACAGCTCCGAGGACAAAGTGTTGCCTCTTACACTCTCCCTTGGTGCCTGACAGATTGCACAGCCTTTGGGCTGCACTCAAAATGGCAACTTCGACTCGGATTTTTCAAATGGCTAAAATATCACGGCTTACGGAAACAGCGTTCGACTAAAAAAGTATCGCACTTTTTTTGACCCTCTCTTCGTTTGGCTCAAGCCTCCAACGTCAGTTGCAGAACTGCTAGAATTAATTACCTAATCTCGTACGCTCTCTCTCCCCGTAACGCATTAAAAGTCTCACGACTTCCAGTTCATCCTGAAAACGCTGAGGAGCAGATCCCACCTGCCCTCGGCCCAAATCCCCCTGCAATCCCGAAACAGCCCCCTGGGACGCTAGAGAAATGGCCAAAGATTTGGGCATCGTTAATACCCTTGGCCACGTAACACCCTGATACCAGGTCGATTATTTATGACATAGAAACATCTCTGGAGTTTTCTGCAGCCGGAGCGGCACGCTCCTCCGAGAGCTGAATAAACCAGCTATTCTGGTCTCAGCGTTGAATCTTGGTTTATCAAAGAGGACACTTGAGCAAAACAGAGCCATCCCCTCTCGCGAGGACGGGCTCGCGGCCATCGGTGACCTTGGAAGCATTCGGCCACGTCACAGCTCCACTTGTGAAAAGAAATAGGGATGTTTTGTCTGGCTTTCGCAGCCAGCATCGTAAATCTCCCAGAAGTAAATTACATTTTCCAGAAAATAAAACTGAAATATTTCAATATTAAATCTGAGGCTACAAGTAATATCTCACATGTGCTTTTTTTGATCTCAGCCTACCCTGTCTTACTTAATCCATTGAGCACTTCCTGCCACGATATTTCCTCAGTTAACCAGACAGAATAATGCTGACAATAAATGATGTTCTGCTCCATATTTCACCCTCTGAGATCACATTTAATAGCCTAACATTTTAAAATAATAAACTCTGCAAAGAGGTAAACTGCATCGCTTCCTTCTCCAATTGATAAGGCAGAAAATTAAAGAATATGACTGTTTTATCCAAGTATGGTTTAGTTCTAAGTTTCTCTAGCTTAATCACTTCATGCAACAAATGTTATTTATGCTGTTGGCCTAAATTAATCCCTTTCCAAGTCAGACGGTCTCACGATAGCTTTGTTCCCGAATTTATTACATAGGATTTAAAAAGGAATTATTGTTTTCTTAATTTAAGGTGCTTAACGCGAAGAAGTGTGACAGCTCAGGGTGGGAGTTCTGAATTCAACAGCAGATACTTACGGTCTGAAGGAATGATTGAAGAACAGTTGTCACTGCTACCTGCTTTGCATACATCTGAATAAAGAAACTCCCCGGTCATGGTCTCCCCTGGTTCCGTGCGATCTAAAAACAGAAGGTGATGAATCAAATGGTGAGTTTAACGCTTTTTGTAGGTTTTGCAAGATTACTTCTCAGATATTCAAGTACCTCATCCTATTCAGTCTGCAATTACCAGCACATTTAAAATAGTACATTACCCTAGAGCTGAGAAGAGCACAAAACTTCTACCAATTCAGGGATTTTAAATTGAAAATTTTTTCTTATTTCTACGAATTAAAGACCAAAGTTGTGCATTTATTTTGCGTCAGCTCCAAAGCTGAAGGAGTAACTGAAATTGTTCCGAAATTACTACGTTCTGGTGCACAGTGAATTCTGAAGGTGCCTTGAAAACTTCCCTTTCAATGCTTTCCAAGTATCAAAAAAACCCCTACTGCCACACAGTAATAAGTCTTTGGCATTTCTCCAGCTGCGTGAAAACGTGAAATAATAGGGTCAGTGAGGTTTGGGTCTCTCACAGGGTTGGCAGTAAAATTAGAAAAAAACCTGTGGAATGTCAAATAATACTTGTCGGAATAGCTCAACTGTCAGAGAAGAAAAAACACAACAAAGACAGAACAAGACAAACCCCAAACCGCTCCTCTAATAAATTTCATTGCTCTGCTTCTCACCCAGTAAGTTAGTAGCTTGATGCTGCAGCATGGAAAAAAACCAAACCAAACACAACCCCAATTTTTAACTCAAAATAAATAACGGAGAAGTCTGCTACAAGCTTAAACTGCATCAAGTGTTTGAGGGAGGTTAATACAGTCCGTAAAACTATGAGCAAACCAGGATTGGAGAGAGAAACCTCTACTTCACAGAACATCTTCCTGATGCCCCTCATTTATATTCGGTGCCTGTTATTTCAGATAAAGTATTAATTTTTGTTACGCTGAAACTGAACCCCGCCATTAAAAGCCAGGGTAAGCATTCAAGGTCTGGCAAACGGACTGAATTCTCCCGGTGCAGAGCCTTCTCCACGCTGGCCTGCCGAAAGTCTGCTTGTAATTCAGCTGGGGGAGGGAGTAGGTGTCGCTGAATTAGATAATCTCAACTGTTTCAGCAAGCAGCGAGGGGAGAAATCTCAACCGAGTGCAGAACAGCCCAAGCTCTATCTCCAGGGGTTCCTCCTCCCCGACCTTCTTTATTCTGCAGCAGACTGCGGCATTTTGTAAAAACCGTTTGCCCCCATTGGTCTGATTGGGTTTTAAACGTGGGTTTTTTACTGTTTGTAAAGTTTTCTCTGCAAGAAAGAAATTCTCAAACTGGTGAGGCAACCAGCATATCTCGCAAAAGGCGCAAGACGCCTCAGCGCGCCCCGGGGAGCAAGAACCCATTATTTTCTTCAACGCAAACCATCCAGACGAGTTGCTGGCACCAACCTGGCAACGAGGTTTCATTGGGGAGCTTGTCTACTTCCAGGATAAAGTCATCTTTGAAGAAGAGGTACCCCACTATGGAGAACAGGTAGACCAAGATGAGGGCGAGCACGGCGGTCAGGATGATGGAGCGCCCGTTGCGAGTGACGCTCTTGATGACGTTGAGCAAGGTCTCTTCTCGGTACACCAGGTCAAAGAGCTGGAGGTGGGCAACAACAAAAGCAAAGGCTGTTTCTCACACGTTACTACCGACACCGGGTCTGTGACAACTCACCAGCACAGCCCAGGCAGGTTGCTGGCTGGCCGTGAGAGAACTGCTTAAACTGGACCTACATAAATACAGAAAATCACCAATTCAGGTAGCAGGGGATGTAGCAAGCATCAAACAAAGCGACAAAAATAGAGCGTTCTGAATGAGATTTAAGGTTTGCTTTAGAAGTGACACATTTTCTCCACCAACACTAGATAGACTCCCTCAGTTCTTATTCTTAGAAGTATTGTGCTGTGCAAGATGAATTCCACCCCAAACAGAAAAAAAAAAAAACCACGTATGCCAGGCGGCGGTGTCAGTCGTGTGAGGTCTGGAGTCTAGCTATGGAGACACTCCAAAGTTAACCAGCCACTCCAAACAGCTCAATAACTACGTCATCGTTATTGACAACACCAACCTAAAGACTGTGAGCCTCTTACTCACAGCATGGTAACTCCAAAAGTGCCTACTTCTCCAGCTAGCATTTCTATGGCTAGATTTTTCCTTGTTTTCTTTTTTTCTTTGCCCTATCATTTAAGAGTTTCTATGACCTTGAGAAGGCTTAAACCTTCACCAGGCATCAATATTGCTTGTTTTATTATCTTGGGTGGCAGAGCAGGGTCACAAGCAACACAGCTAACCTTAGAGAACCTACGCCTCGGAAAACCAAGGACTAACACACATAGGGAAATGCTAAATGCCTTGGTTGCAACTGCGTCCACATCTACTGTAATGAGCAATTTTAACTAAATTTAACCTTAAATCACCTTGGAGAATACACTTAAGAACAAATATAGTCTCTGCCACTCTCTGCAAACCGGGTAGCCTCCCAAGCAAAACCTCCAGCTGTCCAAGGACTGCCTGTACAAGTGTCCCAGAAGGAAACCAGAAAGCGAGCGGCGTACGACACACCTAGATATGCTTGAGATGGGACTTCACAGACATACAGAGAAAAAATTTCCGAGGGCAAAGCAAATACCTACCAACAAACTGTAAAAGAATTCATGTACGAAGAGCCCCAGCGCACAAATCAGCAGGTACAGCAGGTGATAAAGAAACTCTACGTCCATGATCATCGCCTTGTAGCCTCTAGTGAAGGTTCCACAGTTACCCACAAAACTCATCAGGAAAATGATTTTATTACAAACCTAAAGGAGAGATGAACCATAAATTAGTTACAATACATGGCTTTTGAGAAGAAAAAAAAAGGCAATTTTTCAAAGCTGGAGGTCAAGTTGGCTCCATGTTGGTATCAACAACCGTGCTGAATTCCACGGCAGCATTTTCTGTGTCCATCAAAACCTGCTTTCTCTTGTGTTTCCTGCACAGCTCAGGCAGTGAGCCAAAACCAAAACTGCACGTGTCTAATAAAACGCGTGCACCGACTCCTGTCTCCAGCTTGCTGTCGAAGGGCATCAAGACCAAAACTTTAGGAAGAAAATAAAAAAGCCCCCCAGTGAGAGAGGTAAAACTTCCTAAACAAAATCAATCAATCAATCAATCCACCTGTGTTTGAAGGGTGGCATCTTCTCGCGTGCTCAGTCCACGCGTTACCACAGGAAAACTGCTCAGTGTCAGCTTTTTGGCTGGCAGGTAGACTGCAGCCAGGCGTTTGGGAAATGCATTGTTTATTCGGTCTTACACAACCCCCGAAATACCGTCGCTTAGTCACCCAACGGCAGACAGTGCGGGCAAATAACTGAGCGCTTCGGGGTCACAGAGACTTCTTCGCATTTCTGGCTGGGGTGGGAGCCGTTTCTAGACTGGCAAAACTGAGTGAAACCTCTGAGGTCTCCAGTCTGAGCAACCAGGATTAAATGAACAGCAAAGCACTTCTGCTAGAAACAGTCCAAAGAGGGAATCACTCCTCCCACCAGCTCCACCGCAACGCCCTGGGCTATTTTTCCCTGACACCTTCACGAGCAGATAAAAAACCTTTACATAAAGACATGAGAGAACTTCAAAAAAGCCCACTTGATACTTACGTTGAACGCACCCAGAAGAAATAAAGTCGGCTGTAAACCAACCGAAAATATTAGCCGTAATATCGTGGAAGCGATTAAGGCTCGGATGCCGTGAGGCTTCGGGAGAGGGAAAACGATGGCCC